CTTCACGCCTTCGTCCGAGGAGTCCCCTATGTTATCGATCATTCCGCTGTCACTGAGATAAGAGTCCCGATAGCCAACAGGTTGGACATACGAAGAGGGAATGTATCCCATCTCTGTGTTGTTGTGAGCATACCACCAGTCTCCTCCGGATGTATCCAACACGTAGAGGCGATCTCCTTTGGAGAACTTTAATGTGGTGAAGCTGGAGGGGCAGTAGTCCTTGATGGCGACTACTTCCTGTGCGGTCCCAAAAGATGCAGTGGTGTCCAACCGCAAGGCACTGGGGGAAGGCACTAGAAAATAAGAATGGAATAATAAAATGATTATAACAGTATATATACTCAACAGGTGTCACTTCATGAGTTCTTAAACTGACCTTTGACTTCTGTAAGACTGGCCTCAGACACATCCTCACTGAGGTCGATCAGCGTGCCTTCTGACTTGCATCGCGGGAGGACATTGTTGTTGTTGGTCACTCGAATGCGATGAGCAGCCATGGTGTCACTAGCCTTGCTCTGACTTGTTCACACTTCCATTGCCCCAGATGTACGGTTCAGTCATTGGCAGCTGTCCATATTAAGCTGCACAAACCCGCAGTCCAAGATAGCTTTTTTTTTAGGCGGCACTGCTTGCACCCCTGGAGACAAGCCACAATGAGGATAGATGGTCGTTAAGATGAGAACGCTTTAGAGGGGGAAATTAGCAGTATTGCTTCAAAGACAACCTGGAACAATATAACATAATGCAGGTGGTGCTACCGGATGGGAGGAGAGAGCAAAAGATCACATCACTTAATTGGTTTTCATTTTGGCAGTGCATTTATTTGGCTTTGTTGTCTGCCGTTTTTTTCAAGAACAGAGGGAGAGCCTTTAACTTATCCATCACTCAGCCATGGACGCAGATATATCATCATTAAAATGTACTATCAATGATAAAGTTGTTTATCTCAATCATGTTCAAAGGCATCGTGTTGCACTGGCTTGCAAATCCTGTCTGGAACATTAGTCTTCCTCTTTACATTTTAATGAGGAATCCATGGGGTAAAATGAGATAGTAAATCTTAATAACAAATGTGAGTGCTGCTGTTCTTCTCATAAACATCCAAATGGAACTTCAGTTTTCATTTATATTCACACAGTCACAAGTCCCTAATAACTGGACATGTCTCTAAAAAGCTTGCTGATGGTGCAACATCTTTATTTTGTGTGAAATGTTTTATTATCCATTCCATTATATTAAAACTGTCAGAAATCTAAAATATTGCTATGTTTAATGGCATTTAGCAGACTTTCTTTGCACCAGCATATTTTAACTATCTTTCTCCCGACCCAACACATTAGTGAGTTCTCTGCAGGTTCTGAGCATCATCACGCTTGTCACGATTTACAAGCTTTTAGCGTAAGCTGCTGTTTGGCCCGGGGAGGAACAGCTTGTGGCTTTCCTGCATGATTGCTTCAACCTCTGGCTGAGAAGATCAACGTTATTAATCTGGCTCTGACGTGACAGACATGCAGAACGCTAATGCAATGTAAGACAGCCTATAATTAACCAGACTAAATCAGCAGCCTGCTCATCCAAGGTCACGACAGTGCCAGGGGTCCATTTAGGAGGCAAAAACTTGACCGAGATCCTGATAAATGATAAATTGTGGATATTATTAGGCATTTTGTCCTAAATATTATAACTTCAAACTGCATGTGAATGGTATATTAAAGTAAGCACTAAGTAACAAATAAAACATGATTGGATGTAATGTTACGCTGAAATACTTAGTGACATGGTGGGCGCTTCCCCAAGTGTTTTATTCCTTTTATACCACAGCAACAGTGTCTTACTCAGTAGATTCCTCAGTTTGAGAAAGTTCACTCATGTTTGATCACTTTCATGGAACTCGGATCTGGTGGACAAAATTATGGGATTGAGTTTTCCCAGAAGAGAGGCTGAAATGCACCTTTACATTTGTCCTAAATAAGAAGCCATATGTCCTTAAACTGTCTTTCGTATCTCAGGAGCCCAAACCACACGGCATCTTCCCCTTCATGAGACTGACAAACTTTTCTGTTTTTTGTTGTTGTTGTTGTTGTTGTTGTTTTAATCATCACCTTTCCCATGGAAAGCTAGTTAAAATGTTATGTACCTGAATATTACATTTACATTTAGATAAAAGATTTACAGGCATAGAAGATCCTTGATGAAATACCTTTCATCTTTTTTGCACTGGATTAACAAGGGCTTCAAAGAAAGTGTCTCTATCAGGCATGTTTTTTTTTTTTAAGTTTTCTCATAAACCTGAGTGCAAGAATACGCAGGTATAGATTTAGTGTGCAGGACCATTAATGGATGTGAAGTAGGTCAGAACAACCACACGTGTCTTTCAGAGATTGCCTTGAGCGGCCCAAAAGCACTCTCCTGTGTTCATGTGTGATTCATAATTCAGACTTTGAGGAGCTGCGAGTTCATGAGAAAAGTTTCGTGCTGAAGAGAAACTTGGCTCTACAAACACAGGAAAAGTGTGGCGTGTTCCTGCATCGTGATGCGTTGCTGTTATGGTTGTTGTTGTTGTTAGAGTGCTAATGCAGGCATCATGGCTGTAGAGGCTGAATATTCCATTCGTGTTGGTGCTGAGGGCAGAAAGTGTAAGTGATGAAGAGAATTGAGCTAAAGATCTGCTGCGGTAGCAGATCGATGCAGTTATAGCTGATCGTTATGTTGCTGTACTGCTGCAGCTGTTTGGATTGGTCCCATTCATAAACTCCAATTATGTGCCAAAGTCAGTTTTAGTATAAAAAAAAAAAAAGCTCAGTTTGTAAAAATACTTGCCACCGATACTGATTCTAACGTGTGGCGAGTAGCGTGCGGGTGCTTGGCGTGATATTTACTGTTATTGATATATAATCCGTAATCTTTATACAGGAAACGGTCAAGTACATACAATGAAGCAAAACTCAGAAATCAGAGCTTGGACGTAGCGCTGCAAAGAAACAGCAAGGTATACACAGACAGAACAGGTGAACACACTAGGGTAACAAATCAATGACAGGACAGGGCACAGAACATGGTGTTTGTTGCCATGGAAACCGTGACACAAAGGGTGAAAACCATGACACTGATATCAGTTTTAAAAAATTCTGAGGTCTGATAATTAGGACAACTTTTGGTTAATTGATCCAAATCAAGTCTACAGAACATTTAAAGAGACATCACTGGTGCTCTTCTGACACGATTCCCACCATCTGGGCAACCGACATATCTATTATATCACGTATATTTATCTGTGCTAACTGTTAGTATTGACAAGGTGGTGTCCAAACACCAGGAATTATTCAGGCCTACGCTGTGTGGATGAACTAAGAGAAGCTCATGGGAATATCTGACATGTCTGAGACTAACCTTACAGAAGTAGTAGCTATATCGCTACTAAAGCTTCTGAGTTAAACACAGATTAAATAACGCACTAATCAGTGTGAAAATCGAATCAGTTGTGTGAGTTACGTGTTACGCTCTCGGCTTCGTTCTCAGATTAGATTTGAAAAATAACTGTACTAGCTACGTACACTCACCAGACACACCAACCACCTCTGCTACTTCCTTCCAAGCTTTATCTTTCCTCCTAACGTCTCTGCACACGTTTAACGAGAGCTCGTATACGACAGGAGAAGATTAATCCACGCTTATAAGCTTCTATTCCGTTTTTGCAGGAAATAACTGCAGGTAGGAGCTAAAACTATGAGCGGGGAACTGAAGAAACGTCGGACCGCACGCTCCGTAGTATCGGTTCAAAGAATTTCATGATGTCATCTTGTCATTGAACAGAACCGAGTTGATCAAAAAGCATGACATTATACACTTTACATAACGTTGTCTCTCTGTGCCACTCTCTCAGAATCAGCATGACAGTGAAGTCAGTTTTCTCCAGTAACAGCAGAGTCCAAACCTCCAGCATTTTAATTTCCCTGTGTGTCAAGGACGGAGCATTAGTATTCTCAGTCTCTGCAAAGCTGAGCGCAGTCTTAAACACAGCACCTGGAAAAATCCTTCAGAATGTTATCGAAGTGCTGTTGAAAACAGACAAATAGGCACTTCCTCTACAGCACAGACCTTCAGCTCCATTTCAACAAACACAGCTGCTACCGCACAACTTCAGCTGCAGGAATGAACGGTTGCACTCTGTATTTCACAGCAGGAAAATAATCTTTAATGCAAAATCCACAGCTTAAAATTTGGGGTAAATAACCACCTATTGTCAACTGGACATATATTGCTGTTAGGGGCGAGAAAAAAAAAAGATTGACCGTTAGATCTTTTTAGATCACATTTTGATTTGAGGAATACAACAAACATGCAAAATTACAACGCAACACTGGAGTCAGTGGAAGAACATCGTCGTGCCGTTCCTGCTCAACAGAGAACCCTCAAACAAGTGGCAAAACGTCCACGTAAAGAAGAATAAGGCAAATTACCGGGTCAAGTTCACCGCCAAAGATCTGCGCCCCCTACACAACTGTAGAATCAAGATGCGTCGAGAATTGGTTTATAATGGCACTGTAAATCAAAGTCACACTGAACCATAATTTCTATCATGAACACTTCTCTACAAGCCACTTCTACATCTACAGGTTCCAGTCTGCTGGAGAAGAAGGCAATATTTTCTGTCCTTATTTAAATTCCTCCAGCTCACTTCTCTGCTTGTCAGATGGAGTAAATATATGAGACTGTCCTGATTAGTTGTAGCGTCGGAGCTCTCAGGAAATATGGCCGCTCTGGACAGCCGTGTCTCCTGCCCTGTCCTGCCCTAATGTAAAGTGCTTTATAGGGGTGAAGCTCGGAGCGAGGGAATAAACAGGGCGTGCTCATGTCTATACCAGAGAGCAGCCAGAACTTTCTCACAGCTGCTGTGTGTTCTCTGCCGTTATACGCTTAAATATTGGCCGCCATTTTAACACGCCTAACTGGAACGTGCCAGTTTTGTTTTCTAAAATCTGTTAAGCGTTTATGTGGGGTCCCTGGAGGACGAGTGGTCAGGCTTTGGCGCTCTCACGGCCACGGCCCAGGTTCGCTTCCCGGCCAGGGAACCGACTCCAGCCACTGGGGTTGCACAAGACAGTGCACTCCCAGTGCCGGTCCTAAATTGGGACTCTGGATAAACTGAGGAAGGGCATTTGGCGTACAAAAAAAAAGAAAAGAAAAAGAAAAAAAAAAACCTGTGCCAAATCAATCATGTGGACCGATGATCCGCTGTGGCAGCCCCTAATGGAGGCAGCCGAAACAACAACAACAACAAGTTAAGCAATTATGTGCTAATGCATTACACTGTGTGAGAATGTAGCAGAGTCACGATGTGAATTTCTCTGCTATGGTTTTTACTCCGTAGTCATATTCCACATTAGAGCTTGTGTATGTCCAGACGGTGATGTCACGGGGGTCAGTTATCCCCCTGTTTATTTGAGACAGCGGTGGCTCGGTGCTTAAAGATACGGACTGCTGATCAAGTCCCAACACTGACACACACACACACACACACACACACACACACACACACACACACAGAGTAGGATCTGATTTAATGGCAGCTTAATCCAATCTGTTGATAAATTAACTGTGCTGTTCGGAACTTCAGGAACAGTTAAACCTGCTCATTAGTGATCTCCCTCTATCCGTCTCTATCTCGCTGCAGTGACTCTTAAATATTGCAATTCCACGTATCTCTATACGTCGTAATGGTCTAAATCCGATGATGTCATTAGTGTGTAGAATTACCAGCGATGCATAATGCATTGCTGATGAGACCATGATTCACACCTCTACCTCTCTCTCTCTCTCTCTCCACACTTTTCCAACTCTGCAGTCTTGCTGAGAAGTAAGCCCCACCCGGCTGCCCTAACGACGCTGGCGGGGGGATTAGCGTGGACTGGACGTAGCCCAGAGTGGCCATTAATTATGGAATGGAACGCAGCTTTCTGAAAAAACGATGACGTGTGTGTTTTTGTTTTAAGCCTTGCACCAGCCTCCTGAGAGAGGAAAACAGAGACAGGGTGTGTTTCATTCCCGAGTCCCAAGAGAGACCAAAAACACAAACGCTGCTGCCTGAGGCTTAGTATTGTTCTCTGAGAGAGAGAGAGAGAGAGAGAGAGAGAGAGAGAGAGAGAGAGAGAGAGAGAGGTTGCTCGAGATCCCACTAACCTCAGTGCCTCAGAGCAGCACGGCTTTACACCAGCTTATCAAACAAAGTCCCTCGTATTTGGAACATCTGGAGTGAAACTTGAGTCAGAGTAAATTCTAGCGCAACACGCACAAATCTCACTAACAAATCCTACATGCCTTTATTCCTCACTGCCAAGCCAACCCTTTAGGCTTCCCCTTCATCCTTCATCCTTCATCCCTCATGCCAGGGTACCAAGAGTACCAAACAAGGGCATGTGGGTGGAATTAGAAACAGCGCAGGCCCTTTATTAGAGGACTGGAATGAGGAAGTGTTAAAAATATTACCTCTGGAAAAAATAAATGACACATTCCTTACATGACATGGTTTTATCAACATATGGCAACTTTTCCTAAACGTAATACAGCTGCCTGGGGTGAAGTCTGTTGTCTTTCAGTTAACTAAAGGTCACGGGTACGAACTTGCTCATGTCTGCTTTATCTGTGAGATATCCGTGTTATACTTAAGACTGTGCATGCTGCAGTGACACTGAGGAAGGAAATGAAGGGGGCGTGGCCAGACATACGTGTTTTGCACGCACAGACGTTCCCAGCTTTATCTGTTTGGCAGCACGGAGAAGAGAAGCTAAGATGCATCAGAGAAAGA